TCATACACGACATATATATTATATATTACAAAATCTACATTAGAAAGATGAATTTTCAACGAAGCTGTCCGCGTAACCGTATGCGAGCGACAATCTCCACAGAACAACGGGAAACGGAGTCGTTGAGAATCACTCTAATCCTCGTAAAGGGATTCCCCGTGTATATATATCTCTGTCCTTTCACGTAATCTGAGCTTAACTAAACTCAGTCTTAAACTTGCTCGCGGTAATAGTCTTCGCTGTTAATCGAAGCTCCACTCTCTCTCTCGGAAGTTGCCTTGGACGACGACGACGGCGGCGGCGATGGCGTGCATACGGGGCGATTTTGCCGTCGTTGTCCGTCGGACTTTGCTGGTGACCCACGACGCAAAGGCTCGATTAGGGCGTTATCCAGTGCGGCATGAATATCAAACTTCAGCCCGGAGTACCGCTCCGTTCCGTTCCGTTTATGTAACTTCAGCCGTGAACATACTGAGAGAGCGGTATGCTCGACGTCACCTTCGACCTCAGGATCTTCGGTTGTGAACTGATACCATCTTTATGACGCTATTCATAATTAACGGATTATACAGTTAATTAATATTTTTAATATTTATTTAATAATATTTTTGTCGAGATATCTTTGAAAGATTTAAGTTTTTAGCAAGTTCAGCTTTAAATAACTAAGGTATATTTTTGAATTCATTTCATACATTTCTCTTTGGTGTAAAATTATTCTAAAAACAGATACCTTCTTTATTCGATTAATTTAGTTTATTTATTATTTTAGATGTTTCTATTCATATCTTAACTTTTTTAATTCATGAAAGTTTCTTATCATCACGCTCAATCAATACTATCTCACCGCATCATCCTTTGTCTGTGACTTCGGAAGGCTTGCCCTGAAGAATAGCAGTTCTCACTACGTCGTTTATTCGTATGAGATATTGTTGGAATGAGGTTTACGCTGAAATGGGTGCAGGGCGTAAGTTTGGCAGCTCATTTTATCTCGTCCGCAAACGTAACTCGCCGGCGCACGGACGAAGAGAGATGTTTCTCGGACGTTCACGGGCGTTCGTCGGCGTGCAGTATGAATACGTATAAGGCTATATTAAAGTTAGCGCCAGAGCGCTGTAATACGTCATAACGGGCCGCATGCACACATGAACTCGTCCATCCTAAACACGAGGAAATGCAGCACCGCGCCGGTAACTTCAACCCGCGTCACGCATACATTCGCAGTCGCATATAATTTACATAATGAGCATCCATCTGCCTGAAAACGCTCGTCCGAAAGGGTCGGATGTAAGTTAAACGCGCCTGTGCCTTCGTCCGCAATTCCCGACATCGCTCGATCCGTTCCGTTTGCACAAATCGAGCATGCCAGATCTTGTGCAATATCGTTTAACGAATTTGATAAAACCCGACATGTAAAATATTTTTTAAAATTTGTTTTCGAAATCTGTCTTCTAAATTAAAAATTATTCTGTCAATATTGGATCAATCGTTGTTATTTATTTCAGATTGCTATTAAATTACTATTCAAAACTTTTTGATGATTTTTAGCGATTCTGCAATCTACCATTCTGCCATTCTGCCGCGTGCTCAGCGATGTCATTTTTACAGAAATTTAATTTGAGTACTGCTGAAAATTGTGTATACAGAATATTTGATAGGACATCGCAAAATTCCAAATTATTCGCTTACGTTTCTAATTTGATGTTTTTCAACGGTGTGTACGCATTGTTGTGTTATATGTGTTGCGCGCTTTTAGTATTCCAGAATTAATGGACCAGCTGTCATACCGGTTATGGCATTTTACTATCGACGTGCAAACAAATCTGAGTTGTGACCAGCGGTGTCGCCGTATGCGTTACTTTTGTTTACACAACTTTCCAATCTGTCGAGCTGTTCGCAATTTTCCGTCGAAGTTCGCATATCCCGTTTACATCCGCGGTACGCGACATAAGCTCATTTCCACCTAAAAGGACCCGAACCCTCTCGCACACGATATGAATACGTATAAGGCAATATTAAACTTTGCATATCCACCACAATACATGCACCTCCTACGTCGTACGAAACGTATGAATGATTATACATATATGTATATATGTTTACAATTATTTTTTAATATTTTTAACGTGGAACGTCTTCATATTTTTTTTATTATATAAAAAACAATTATAAATTTTAATTATAACATTTTCTTCTTAATAAAGCTCTTAAGGTGTTACCGAGTTACTAGCTTTTAAAGTTTGTAGACTTTTTAAAAAATTAATTTTTTCAAGAACTGATATTTCTGTAAACGCTCATAAGTTTGTAAAACCACATTGCGTATTACATTATCATATTCTACGGAAGTTCTCATTTCTTATATCTGCTATTATCAATTCCAACACACATTCTTTTTTTATCTGAGCTTGCGAGAGGAACTGATATGCGGTTCGAACATAGATAAAGACAGTGTACGAATTTGCATATATATAGAGTGCTTTGTACCCATTGCATTACCCATGGCTTCTTGGCCACTTTAGATTTGATTACGCCTTCGCAAAAAGTAATTTTTATCGCAATTTCCCAACACTTTCAGTATTACATACTTTTATACTTAAATCCCGAATTTAAATTTTATTAAAATAAAATCTTGAAAGATTTCTCTCTAGCTTAATAATAATATTAAATCTAACCTTCTCATTTAGTTTGTTTGACACAATTTATTTTTGAATTTATCGAAAAAATTACCAATATTTCCATATTGTGTTATTACAAAAATTATTTCAAATTATCAAAGAAATAAAAAAACAACTCTCTAGCGGTAACACTTTGTTCACATGCTTGTGACATACACGCGTATTGCACGAATGCTTAAACAGACACGCGCAAAACGATGGGTTCATGCATATAACGCGTATATTTGGCCGGTGTGCAGCAAGAGGTTTTAGCATGCGGAGCAAGCCGGCCTTTAATGCTGAAATATCGTTGGAACGTCGCGGTGTCGCTCTGTCGTCGTCGTCTTCTTGCCGCACAAAATTTCGAGATTCTTTCGCCGAGAGCGCAAAATCCCTAATCGCACATTCAAACCTTTGTGCTGTTGTACTACTTTGTTACACATATATATAATTCTATTAAGTAGCTAATAAGAGAGAGAGAGAGAGAGAGAGAGAGAGAGAGCTTTAAAAAAAAAATTATTACCTAATCTGTGAAACAAATTATTAAATAATTTAGTAATGATGGTAGTACGAGCTATAATAAACGGAGAAGATAGTTCAATCCGTAATGTTTAATCTGATTTCTGCATAAAGTGAGAGCAAACATCTCGAATTCGGGAGTGAATCAAGCGACGGGGAACAATGAATTGTTGAGATGAGAAACGGGCCAAAAGGAAGTTTCGAGGGTATCCGGATGCTCAGAAAAACAAGCTGGCTGTCGGCAGGATAAGGGGATTAAGAGGGTTCGCAGCTGGCAACCCTCGGACCAATTCCTCGAAACGATGGGGTTGGGTCATAGCTGCTGTATTCAGGCATCACGTCGGCATGGACGAGCCAAGAAGGAAAATCCACTGTCGCGATCGTGATCGCGTTCGTCTGTCTGTATTTTTCGAATCACGTACGCCTACGTACGTGGATCGAAAGAGAAGGGTGTAAATTGCGGCAAACGAAAATTGCTACGGAAATAATCAGCAATTAATTAATTAATAAATATTCTGAAAAGCTTTTGACAGACTACTTTACAATCATTTTGAAAAATAAGAATAAAAATTCAAAAACATTTTGAATACATTTTCTCTTTGAATTAAACTTTTGTTAGTCGAAATAGTCATTATTAGTTTCAATGCACTTTTTTTCTCTTAAAGAATAAATTTGAAAAGTTAATTTTTAATCCCACACATTTGATCAAATTAGAAGCGTACTTTAAAACTATATTTGATAGAGAAACAAATCTTCTGTGCCAGCATCATACGTCTTACAACTTACAGGTTACAACCATCTTTACCACATAGCAAGGATCGAAAGCAGAGAGCGGAGCTTTCGGCCAAAGTCGCAGCGGAAAGTCGTAAAGCGCTTGCGAGTAAAAATCCATCTTGCTGCGGAATAAAATCCGCACGATAACTTTGGACGGAAAAATTTTTGCCGATCTCAGTAGTGAAACCTCTGAAGTGATCAGACGATAAGTAGCAGCGGCCGAACTTCACTCAATTTCTCACAGTTTGCATTAGAAGGCGAATCGTATCTCACTCTCTCCGTCGCGGCTCGTCCTCTTTTTCTTTCTCATTAGCGACGCGTCTCGAGCTACTTAATAATTTCCTCGACTAGACAATAAGCGTCGTTGCGAAAAAAAAGGAGAATGAGGTTGAGGAGAAGTCGTTCTCTTCCCAGTCTTCTATAAAATCCAATTTAACAACTATCTCAATTCCCATCATTCGTTTTTAGTTTTCCAAGATAACGAAGAACGAGATCTCTTCAAAATCGTAATTAATATATAAGTGTGCAGAAGTAAGGAGGTACAAAAAACATATATGACTATAGTCATTTATTGTCTTTTTAACGTAAAACGTAACTTAATAAAGAAGTCAAAAAACAGATTAAGAATTTATTTAATTATTATATAAATTAATTGTTGTGTCTAATTGTTATCAGTCAAATTTAACATATCTGTTTTAATAAACATATAATGGTAAGTTATTTAAAATTTCAACTATTTGCATTATGTGCACGTTTTAATTTTATTTCAACAAATTGCAATTTATAAAAATTTTTATATGATACAAAGCTAATGTAAAACATGTCTTTTCTACACTTTTTCTAGATAACTTTGATATTATTTACAATAATATTTTATTGTGTTCATATTTATTTTTAAAACATAATATTGTGTTTTATATTAAAATTTTAATTTATTCTATGTGCATAAAGTATGACGAGACCTCTTGTACGAAGCACAGTAATTTAGAGTCCTTAGTTTTTATATCGTCGATAACATATCCTCTACAGATAAGGTTTTAAGTAATAATACAAATGTATTTTTACAAAATTGCACGTATTTTATGATTCAAATATACAACCAGATCTATATAGCACTTGTTTTATAGAATATGTTAATTATTGCAATGTATGTCAAATAATATTTCTTCAGTTTTTTAATTATATATTAATTATATAACGAATTATGCAAAGAATAATTATTATGAGAATAATTAGATCTGTTTAGAACTAATCAAAATCGTCATTATTAATATGAAGTCGTTATTATTATGAAAATTATTAACGAATTTGCTAAACTATTACCACTTTAGGATGTATGGGACACGGTTCCATATCATTCACGGCACCGCGATAATTTTTCCAAATTTTTCGATTATTGAAACAAACAGTTCCGCCGCCTCGTGTGTATTGAGTATCCTGAAAAATAATAAAATACAAATTTTAATACAGCGTCTGGTCCAGCAGATTAGATCAATCCTGAAAACATACATGAAAAAGATTTAGGAATCGTAAACTTGTGGAAGCCCTTGTTACTAAAAATATAAACAATTTAATTAATCAATTCTTTTTATTAAATTATTTATTTCCAAGATTTTCCTTTGCACAACTGTTAAAAATTGTATGCAATTTAGAGACACAGTTTTATTCTAGAAGATTTTTAAAAATGTATACTTACCGCTCGATTGATGTCACCGATGCAGGTCCAAGTTCGATTAGTTTTACCCTCAACAGTTACCGCCCATTTGGAATGATCGCGACTACTTTTAAAATCGATATCAACCGCATTCAAACGAATAGACATAACATTGTACACTCTAAAAAAGGATTAAACAGTTTGATTAGTTTGAATATAAATATAAATTTACAAAACGATGAAAACAAAAAGTTATTATATCACTTATGACATTACTTTACATGTTCGCAGTCCGATGGTAGTCTACCCCGTCCGTTCAGCCATGTTTCAGCGAATAAATCAGATTTCAACGTCGGTGCGACGAATTCATCATACAAGTCTGTAAGATTAACAAGACGTTGATTATTTATATATGTTAAATTAATTTTCAAAGTAGATATAAAGACGAACTCTTAAAAATATTGCTCTAGCATAAGTTTTTTGATGTAAAATACATCAGTGATATATTATAAAAATATCAAACGCGCGCGTTTTACCTTTTTGCCACTTATCGCTTTTGGCAAACGATAAGAATTGAACACCTTTGGATGATCTTAACACCTCTTTGTTGCTAAAGGGTGCTTGTCTGATGCGCTTCTGATTGGCAGCGTCCGCGAGTACCGGAAACAAGTCAGCGAACGCGCCGGGGATGTTTCTCCAGTACACTATTATCTGATTGTACATAAACTGTCGACCGAGCACGTCGAACTGATCATCATTCATGGATATGCACAGGAAACTCTGTCCGAAGTTCTCCCCAGATGTCGGATAATCGTACTCAGACCGATTTCCCGGAGCATTTTCGTCCGCATTTCGCCCCTAGGAATACATCAATTTAAGAGGTATTTCTCATTTAAGAATACGCTTCCAAATATCATCAACACTGTCACTTATATAATATCGAATAGGATCAAATAAGCCAATCAAAGCGTTTTAATTGGCATAACACAATTTTAACTTCTAATAATTAAATAAATTGCTACAAAAATATTAGAGTGAAAAGAATATTAATTTTAATAGGATTTAAAAAATTATTTAAAAATACAATCTTAAAAGAAATAGTATTAGTATTATTAGTGGACAATTATATTATCCAATTCATTTATATTTCACGGTTTCTTTAATTATAGAATCATTAAAAACCACTTATATCATTAAAAACCATTTATAAGAAACATTTAGATATAAAGAAATAAAAATACCAAGAGTATCAATATTCCGATTAATTCAAAGCGCTCAAATGCATTACCCGTCTTGCGTCATTCCCACTATTTGGTATGGGCGGATAATTCGGAACACTATGTATTAACCAGAAACCCTGTTGTTGATTTGCTATCACGACGCCCTTCGCATGACCGTATTTTGCACTGCTGGGTCTATTAGGCGGGTCGTCATTGTACATAACGAAGAAAGCGTTCGATGCCACTGACTGAAAGTGCGTAATCGTATGAGCAAATATTACACATGATAAACATGACACTTTGAATAATAAATTAAAAATATATAGCTTCTAAAAAATTTTAAAAAGTGTTGCAACACTAATACTTGAAAGAAATATATAAATTGACAAATTGAAAAATAAATTAACTGAAATAATTAATTATTTGTCCAATTTAACTTATGTATATATTAAGATTGATTAATTTATATTGTCTCTCACATCATTATATAAAGGTGCTAATGTAATTCCCGGTATAGAATTCTTCGCACTAATTTTTTCCGTGGATAATTGCCAACCCTTATCAACGGTATTGTTAGTTATATACAGATACGCTAAACCGCTTCTAATCACAGGATTGCTGCTTTCTGATACTTCGGTAACTTGTACAGTACATACCTAAAATTACATTCAAATAATCATCTTACGAAATCGGAAAAGTTATCGATAACAAAAACGGAATAATTATGACGCAAACAGACGTAATGCTAAAATATTTCATTAATAAGATCAATATAATCAACACAGAATCTTATCTAAACTCATTAAATAATATCAAGTGTTCATATTATCACTAAAAAGCACTTTACTGTTCACCCATTTTATGTATCTTTTTTAAATTTTTTTGATATTGTAATATTTATCAAAAATATATTTATTGGTGGATCGTAATAAATATTTTAAATTGTTTTATTTTTGGAAAATTATGGCAACTGAGTTTATTTTTAGAAAAGTATTGAAATTTATAATACAATGTAGTCTTACAGATAATGATATTTCGAATATACTCACCAATCGACAGGTTGATTCTTCTCATCTCTGCAATTAAGATTAGCCGCATTGGCCGTGTTGCAAGCAAACAATAAAATGCTTAGTAAACGACACAATACCGAAAACATTTTGAACTGCGTTATCGGTACTCAAAATCGAAAAAAAAAATCCGACCGCGAGTGCTCCGAATTGTGAATTTACTAGTCTAATCAACAGAAATTTATGATGAATGGCGTTAATTAGAAGGCAATATCCAACATATGCACCTGTATGTATACCACTGCACTCGAATTAATTATATCATTATGCAAACTGCAAAGCAACAGCTGCTAGAGTCGCACTTGATGAACAGTCCAGTTTGCATTATTTTCGGTTCATTGAAGCAAGTGTCACGCATTTCTGTCGAAGCATTTCTGAAACACATGCAAATATAAATTACATATAAATTAGCAACTTACAACAATATTGACGTTTACTGCAAAATAATATTTCTTTTTGCATAATCATAATTAGTATTAGCAGAATGTTTGCGCTACGACTAAAATGCACTCATGTGAAAAATTTATATATATACGGAATACTTTAGAATAAATCTGGCTATTTAATTAATATAAAAAATTCACTGAGAAATACTTAGATAATAAATTATTTATTTATGTTCTTTATTTTTAATATTAAATAATCTGAAATTTAATCTCCATCGGTCAATCAATTAGTTTTTATATGTAAAGAATGTATGATTTCTATACATAAAAAGATGTATAAAGCATTTTGCAAGCAAAATGCCAAATTAATATCTTAAAATGTTTTAAAAAAGTATATCCTTCTAAAGCGTGAAATATATAACGAGGACAGTGATACCTCCGCCTACGTAGATAGCGTCAGTGCGATTGTGCGCAACGCTCCCACATACGATCTGCGACAGACGCTATGATAATCTTCGAGAATACAGTAGCACTGCTCGAAATCGTATTTTAGTATACTATTGAAATATACGAATACGTGTTAAAAAAAAAACCATTTATCTGCAGTCCTTTCTTTAATCTGCCTCTGACTTGATAACAACATTGTTACAGAGCACACATTCACTGATGACGCGCGGACATAACAAAGACCAGTCTGCGACTCCAAGTGAAGGCACGAAGGAAGGAAAAAGAAGGAAGGAATAATGACCACTGATGACGTCACGCAATACCTTCCACACGCATAGTGCATTCAGATGCCACGTTGAAGTCCCGCATGTGAGATCTTCATCGCAATAAATTAATATAATGCATGGTCAAAGTAATTTTGGATATTTATCGAAAATAATATAAATAACATTTATATATTTTTCATTATTTTTTAAAAGTAGAAAGATGAGCTCTGACGAAAAAAGAAATTAGAAAAAAATGAGAAATTATTTATTTTTTATTTTATAATTATTATCCGCATATCTCTCTATTTTCATCAATCTTTAAATGATATAATAGACTGATCATCATAGATTTACTTTTAGCATAACTTAAAATTTCATTATAGCTTATTCTTAGTTTTATTTATTATTTGCAAAACAGATGCTACACATTTTCATCATATTTATTTTTGTTTCGACTCTATATTCTTCAAATTAGTAAAATACAAAAATAATTTCAACAAATAACATTAGACGTTTCGATAAATTAAAAACGAGTTTGAAATCGATAACTCGAAACTAAGATCGATTCAAGAAATTCGAGTAATCGAGTGCAATGCGATTAGGCGACTTCATGCAGGTTAAAGAGGAAACAGCTGTCTACAGCTGTTCCAAAACCATGCATCATATAAAAAGAGATATCATATAAATGCATCATACAAAGGCATTTATGACACTCAGTAAATTTATATTTTAACTAAATTAAAGTTAAATACTAAGAGAAAATATACATATAATAGAAATTGTTGAATTAATGATAAAAAAAATCATTAAATCAATAATAAAAACGTCATATTTTACATTTTCTTAGTTCCTATACATTTATTAATATAATTTACTTACATCGACTTTCCCTTTTTAGCGAGGAAACATCGACCATCTATAAAGATTACATCATTGATGAAACATCCATTTGGCACGATTGAGCATTCTATATGCACACGGGGTTCCCAATGTCTACAGCCGGTCCTGCGGGATAACCAGTGCTTGTACGAGAAGATCCGTCTGTTCGTGCGGTGGATGGCGGCCGCTAGTTTGCCGTGCGAGAGAACGCTGTACAAGTACCACAATAATATCGCGACGAGCATGAGCGAACGGCGTGCAGCGTGTAGCACGGAGCTGTTTGTGCATCGCGAGTGACTGTGCCTTGCATATTCCGTGTGCATTGTGTGCATCGTATGCATCGTTTATTCTCTTGTCTTTCCCTCAAGCCTCTGTTCTGTGCCTCTACGAGCGACGGAGAGGAGATGCCGTGGTACCATCGACGGAGCAAATTCTCAAACACCGTTACAGATCACGCTAAATACCATTGGCTGTGATAATAAACAACGTAATGATTTTATCCCAACATCGTGACGCGATTCTTCGATAAACAGAAAAATGCCCATCTTTGAATTGTTGGTCAGTTAACTAGCAGCAATTGAAAGGCGATAAGAATCGTGCATAACGCTCGTGATTTAATCTCACAGATTGATCTCGCAAGTTCTAAGTAATGCAGCAATTTATTGTTTCATATAAAGGTTTTTTTGTTCTTGAAAGTAATGATAAAATTTTCAAATTTTGCAGCATACGATGCTGAGTGCAATTTTTGTGATAAGCATGAATTTTTAAGTGTTTATTTCACATTTAAGTGTACATATATTTTTCTAACATTAAGACAGTATGTATTGTAATTATATAATATAATTTTTTTAAGTAAAACCTAGAAAATTAAAAAAAGTTTATGCTTATTCTTGTTGACTATAAAGTAGCACTATCTAGAAGTAAATCATGGTATGACGAGATGTATGCTAATACCATGAATATTCTCTAGTCAGAACTAAAATTAGAACTCAAAGCTAAATAGTAAGAAATATACAGCGGTAGACTCTACTTTCCCTTAAAATTTTCTAGGTTTATATATCTTGATATATCTTATAATAATATACTTTCTCTTAATGTTAGAAAAATATACGCATGTACTTTTTGATGTAAAAATTGTACTCTGTCAGCATTATATGAAACAACAGCTACATGAGTTGCAAAATCCATTTGCAGGATTAAATCAGAAGCCAGTGCAAGTATTTTTTTATACATTCTTATATAGATGTGTCTATACTAATCTATTGTAATTTTGCATTTAATAGGTAGCAACATAATGAACATCTTTGAACTCTCATGTCTATTGCGTGAAACATCTCCAAACTTACAAACGAGATTTCAATACTTTGATTATTGAACGATAAACAAAAACACCAAAATGAATAGAGTAGAGAGTGCAGATGCTGGTAAGGGCTGGCATGAATGTGCCACCTGGTTGACAAGATGCGGTGCACTGCGAGCAGATCACAAGGCCAACTGGCCACAGGCCAGGGCATTCGACTTGGCCTATACCTTGCGAGATGGTGTACTGCTGTGCAATCTACTGAACATTGTGGATCCAGGTTGCATAGATATGAAGGATGTAAACCAAAAACCACAAATGGCACAATTCCTGTGTTTGCGTAACATAAAAGTCTTCCTGTCGGCATGCTCAAGCGTCTTTGGCCTCTCCGACTCGGAGCTTTTCGAGCCGTTTATGCTATTTGATCTGTCTAACTTTCATCGCGTTCTCTGCACGCTCTCCGCCTTGTCCAACTGTTTGCGTTTCAGACGGAAGGGTATACCGTAAGTGACTTATTGAATCTTGTATTTCTTATTATTATTTATCACTAGTGTGAAATGAACAGAAAACAATTAGGAAATCTTATTTATTGCAGCGGGTTTTCTGTTGGCCATGGAAAGTCTCAAGAAGACATTTACAGAGATTTACAAAGTGCTGGCGCAGGGTAAGAATCTGAAGATATCAATTATATATTTTATAAGTATATAAGTATATAAGTTTATAAGTATATACCGTCCATATTGATAAATATTAAATTCCAAAGAACATTATATAACTTTAAAAAGAATTAAAATTTGTTTAAAAGAACTTTATATACATATAAAGTTCATATAAAATTTAATAGAAATTTCTTTATATATATATATATATATAAAGAAATTTCTATTTTTTTTGTAAAATTATTTACGCATTTGTTTTTTAAAATAACGACCGATGAAAGCTAAAGAAATAATTACTGTTTGACTTCAAAAAGAAAATAAAAGTACGAAACTCTTCAGCAATTATTATTAATTGGTTTAGCGCCACGCACGCATGGGTGGCGTTTACCATAAAAACTAAGGCTGCGGACGTAGATGAATCGATGGTTTATTACGAATTGATCTGGTCTACCGCGGAGAAGGTACACACGATTTTTCACGGCTTCGCAATTTTAAGAGCACTTCACTAAAAAAATATTAGCCATCACTGTATTCCAACTTACTTTCATAAATTAAGATGTAAAATGCAGTTTAGAATTGTGATTGATATAAATTTGGAAAATCTTATTTCCAATGCTAGACGTTGTACTTGCAATATTACAAATTAATGTAGAAATCATTTTTCCAGCTCTTTTCATGTCATCAAAATTTTTACTCATTGAAATTATACATGTGTCAATTAAGTAAAGTACATGTGGTTTATAAAATATCAGAATTTGGGAATATTTTTCTTGGATTTCTGGAATGAATCTAACTCGTTACGTCTTGTGTGTATCATATATATTACATATTGGTGAATTATGTATACTGCATACAGTGATGGCATTGTTTCGCTCTTCATGCTGACATATGGCAGTATGTTTCGATCGCAATCGATGTCATTATCAGTGGCAAATTTTTATAATATTGCTAATTTATATTATTATTAGCATTATTCATTTATAATAATGCTACTTATGATTTGATTTCCGCCGGAGACTTAGTCTTTCCTGTCAGTGTGCATGTATAGTGCATGGCCATGTTTTTTTGTGTTTTTATGCTAAAGCCGCGAGGATGAGGGTCGTCGCAGGAGATTTAGGAGACGGGAGGGTGACGAGTCGGTCGTCGGGGGGGATAATGAGGACCCGGTCGGCGAGGAAGATGGTTACGGAGCTTTTTGCAGCCACGCGCAAAGCGAAGAGATCTACCAGGACCTCTGTAGTCTACACTTGCCATCTCCTCCATCCGCTGCGCAGGTCATCATCTCGCTTTTATTCTTTTTAGTCATCAATTTTTTTACACTAATCGCAAAAAAATAAGAAACCTCCGAGTTTCCCTTTCTTTAGCTAAGTATTACCCCCAAAAAAAATTTGAAAAAATAGCAATTACTTAAAAACATCTTGTGTTAGAACAAAAAAGATTGCATGAATGCATTAAGTGTTAATCTCATTATTGAAGATAAAGGAAAGATCACAAGTAAAAGCTTCCCTCATTTTTAGCGCATTTACAAACCGTTAATTTTGTATCTATCACGGGTTATTTATTACGCTTTACACGCGTTGTGTTATTAAATCACATTAATAATTTACACAAAAACGCTTTTCTTTACTAAAATAATGTCCGTGCAATAGGCTGGCGCTATTTGCGGAGGTGAGAAAAGGGATTATGTGATCCAGGAGCTTGTGGAAACTGAACGGAATTACACAGAAGTTCTTAGTAGTCTCCTCAGGCATTTCGCCCGACCATTATCATCTTTATTGCGACCCGAAGACTCCAATCGCATCTTCTTCGGCATCAAGGAACTCACGGAGATCCACGTAGGCTTTCATAGTCAATTGCGCAAGGCACGGAACGGTACAGTGCTCGCCCAGGTCTTCCTGGATTGGCGGGAGAAATTTCTCATTTACGGCGATTACTGCGCAAATCTTACCATCGCGCAAAATACTCTGCAGGAATCGTGCACACGTAACGAAATAGTCAATCAGGAAGTTATCGTAAGTCTCGCTTTGTAAAATTTCGTGAAATTATAAAGCCAAAGAGGATTGGCAACTTTACGTTTCACTTGATTCAAAAATATAGTAGGAAATACAATATCTAATTCGATAATATTTGTTGCAGAGATGCCAACAAGAAGCTAACAACGGTAAATTTAAGCTGCGCGATATATTGTCCGTGCCAATGCAAAGGGTGCTCAAGTACCACTTGCTGTTGGACAAATTGGTAGAGGAAACTCCTCACGAGTGGGGCGAGGAATGTCACGCGCTGGCGAAGGCAAGGGAAGTCATGGTCGATGTCGCTCAGTACATAAACGAGGTGAAGCGCGACTCCGATACATTGGACATCATAAAGGACATTCAAGCTTCGATCATCGATTGGGATGTGCCCGAGGACGCACAGCTGAAGGACTTTGGCCGGTTACTTCGCGACGGCGAGCTTAAGGTTTGCTTAACATTTTTATCAAGCAAAAGAGGCTTACAAGTGCATAGAAATTAATCCTTGTTACTTATAGATTTAAATAAAGTATACATGATTTGACACAAAATAATTACATGACATAAATTTTAATAAAAGGATAACTAGAATTATTTTTCAAGAAAACATTATGATACTAAAATTATAGCTTGATGCTGAACTTAATAATACGAGTAGTTGCTAATTTAATTTCTTTTTAGGTGAAAGCTCACAATGACCAACGGATCAAGGCTCGTTATGCATTTGTGTTCGAGCAAGTGGTATTAATCTGCAAAGCGGGCAGAGGAGATCAATACTGTTACCGGGAAACTTTACGGTTAGACGATTACAGACTGGAGGATCACATAGGACGACGAACATTGGGCAGAGATTCGCGCTGGTCCTACCAATGGATACTTGTACAAAAACAGGGGTCCACAGCGTACACGCTATATGCAAGAACGGACGAGCAGAAGCAGATGTGGATAAAGGCGCTGCAAGACGCGATGGACAATGTCAATCCCGCAGCTTGTCGCAATACCAATCATAAATTTAAGTTGACGACGTTTGATACTCCCAGGAGCTGTCAACGGTGTGGAAAATTTCTTAAAGGCCGCATATTCCAGGTAAATGAAGTCGGATAGTGAAATATTTAATCATTGCGCCAATAATCACCTTCAATCACGAAGAATTGGTATAAACATTTTTAAAATATATAGGGTTACAAGTGCGAAACGTGTCGCATAGCCGTGCACAAGCAATGTATTGCGCATTCGGGTCGCTGTATGCCGACACCGCCGTCGCCGACACCACCACCACCGTTACCTTGCGAACGCGCGCTTGCCGTGAAACTGTGGTTCGTCGGAGAGATGGGTAGGGAAGCAGCTTCCAACAAACTGGAATCTCGCGAAGACGGCACGTACATGCTACGCGTCCGTCCGGCTGGACAGCCGCGTCTCAAGCATGAAACCAATTATGCTCTCAGCATTAAGTAAGCTTAAAACATCGTAGAAAGTTATTCGCTTTAGATGAATTACAAATTAGGAATTTAAGAAAGTTACAGAATTTAATTTTATTTCTAATTATGTTTAAATACTAAGAGAAGCAATATTTAATTATTTATATCGAATTGACTTTTTAAGTCTAAATATTTAATATTGTTAATTACACTTAAGTGTTTATATTTAAATGCTTTTTTCTAAAAAAATTAACAATCACATTTAATTTATTCTGTTTTATTTAATTTTTATGAATTCTTTTATTGTGGCTATTTTTACCGGATATATTGATGTATTGCAATATTTTTTTTTCAGAGCGCAAGGAGCGGTGAAACATATCCGAGTATTCAAGCGCGACGTGGAAGGCGCGGATCTGTATTATCTCAGTGAATCTCGCTTTTTCAAAAGCGTTGTTGAATTGGTCGAGTATTACGAACGAGAGTCGCTGTCAGAGAATTTTGAGAAGCTGGACCAGCGTTTGCTGTGGCCGTATCGGCGTGTCGTAGCCAAGGCACTGTTCGATTACCACGGCAACGAACGTAATCAGCTGAATCTGCGACGAGGTTGCAGAGTCGTGGTACTGAGCAAGGAAGGCGATGCCAAAGGATGGTGGAAAGGTAAAGTAGGCGATCATGTAGGATTCTTTCCAAAAGAATACGTGGAAGAGGAATAGTACTCTTAATGTCGAATCATTATTATGTCGTTGCATATGATATATCGGATTGAAAAAGTTTCAATTTAATGAAAAGTCTATTGATAATTAGCTATTATATTAAAATGATTTTCTAATGAAATATAATGGAAGAATGTTTTGATATAATTTTTTTATGAAACTGTATTTTACTTTTATGAATTTTTAAGTCTTGCAAATTTTAATTTATAGAAATACGAAATGTGAAACGTATAGGCTTGTCCAAGTTTTTGTATATATATGAAATTCTTTTTCCTACTTAGCTTCTCTCTAAGCATCACCTTGTGAAATTCTGTCTTAACTACTGTGTCCTAAGCCAAGAATCTAAAAATTAGAAGAAATATTGCGACATGAGCGATTACGAAGGCGGCACATTTGTTCAATAAGTTTGGATAAATCTAATCTGATACTATTTTATAACCTCAAAATTGGAGAGAGAAGATATAACATTGTAGAAACAGTTTGTAATATAAATTCAACGCTTAGAAAGAGGAATATATTAACGTATAGTAGATAAACATAGGCTTTAAAAAATTCTAGTATAAAAAATATAATGTACATAATAATAAAATATTAAAAAAGGCCTTACACATTTAATGTTATGAGATCATGAAATTATATTCTTATAAATTTTTCAATTTTAATGAATTTTTTAAATAGCATCATGACAAAAAGAAAATGATATCGGACTTCACAATATTTGTGATAGTTGGTATGAGAAAAATGAATAATTGTATAAATAGATTAACATGCGGGACATGTAATTGAGAAGATATATATATATATTTCTAATAATATTTTTCAAAATATTATATTTTTCAACTTTAGTGCCTTTAAAAATGTCCTACATTCGTTCAAAATAAAATTATGTACATAGCTTTCTTATTCTAAAAAATATTTTAATAAACTTGTGATAATTTTATTATAACTATTTTATTATGAAATTAAGTTTTGTCACTTGCATATATATATATACATATTGCATATATTTTTTTAGAAGTTATGTAGAAATTAATCTAAAACCGACATTTTATACGCAACGACCTAATATTCATTGGCCTCTCAATGGCCTAAAAAATGCGATATGCCGTGATGATCATCTTATGGTGCAGTCATGGTAATTCTACTAACTCATACCTCAATAGGAAGGGAGAGAAAGGACGAAATTTAATCGCGAGGCATTCTTGTGTTGTATAATAAAAAGAGAATATAGATAGACGCACGATTCATGCATCACATGCGCAACTTCGATGTTACAGTTCTCTTATGTTTTACGAGTTCCGAACGCATTACAAGTACACCGATGTAGTGTATGCCCCGACGCTACGCTTAGACAAATATATTTTAGCGACATGTATAGAATTATATAAAAATGACAATTATTTTTTACTGCGATGCGGCATTCCTGATTATCTTTAAGTAGCGATATCATAAAGATTAAAGTTGTTCATCTGGAAGTGTATTTAGAATATACATGTATGTGTATATGCATATATATTTCATATAAGATGTTCCTAAAAATGGGAATTCAACGGGATTTCAAAATTTGTGAAAATCTTGAATTTTTATTAAAGAATTGAAATTAAAACGTTTTTATTAAAGAATTGAAATTAAAACGTTTATAACGACATAATTCTCAATTTTATTTAATAAAAAGTTTATTTTCCAAAAGTTATACTGTCGATTCTCACTTTTTTATGAACATACTGTTTAGACGGCGGCTTATATACATACATATATTACCGATAACTTTCTTCTTTATGATTAGATTCAGAGTCAATTGCCAGACATCAGTTGTATATACTATAATCTTCTCTGTATTAATAGATACTTTCTAGTTTACATTTGAATTGCGAACAAATGTATAATTCAAATTATATACAGGATGTTCGATAAATGGAGAACAAAGAAATACAATTTCTCATTGCTTAATTATGATTCTAAAAGCTACTATTCATTTTGCAAACGTTTAAATTTATGACACTTGATATTCTACATTTTTCATTATTAACCTTCATTATTAACTTTTCAATTATTAACTTTCATAATGTTTAAAAACGTTAATTCTGCATCAAATTCTTTGCTCTGAAATATGTTATATTACTTAGAGCAACGGCGAACTAAAAGCTCATAAAAAAGCTGCCCAAGAAGTCTACCTGTTAGCTTATTACAAGCTCAATTACGGTGCCAATTAAGATTCTATCCATGGAATAATAATTTAGATATTAAGTTCAAAAGCTGTTGGAGAAATATACCCCAAATCTTGTCAACTGCATAATTTACTCTATGTAGCATATCGTTGCTCCAAGAAATAAATTAATTTAATTAAATAGTTGTGACAAATTTATGATAAAAGTGGAATTTATCTCTTTTCATTAATTACATCACCAGTTGTCGAACTCCTATATATAGATACACAAATATGTATACAAAAATATATTTAACTTTCTAGTATATATCTATTTTATTGTAAGTATGAAATTAATTTTATTATTTTTTTAATTGTTAGACATATTTTTCTGAGTGTGCCAATAAGAAATTCTATCAATAAAGGATCTTATCGAGATGTTATATAAATACTTATACAATGGTTTTCATAATTATCATTTATCATTTTATTATTTATTATTTTAAACATTAAAAAGTTTCAAATTACCTTAATTAGTTTCAGGCTGCTTGTCACGATACACAAGAGCAGCAACTTTCTGTTCTATTCTTTTGCATCCAGCCATCGAATAGAGATTATACGGTTCAGGACCAAAAGTCAAATACGAAAGTGCCTCTTCTATAAGCTCCTTGGTTGGAGTGGCTCCTCGCTGGGAGAAGGCTTTTTTTAAACACTTTCTAACATGTACTTCCTCGAGAGGTAAAAAAGGTACATAATGATCAATCACACTGGTTTGTATAGTATCACTCTGATGGAAACCACCCTTCTCCTGGAATGCTCCGTTAGCTATCAGTTGTTCAAAATCCTGCAGCTCGGTATCCTCTCGTTTCTTTCCCTTTTCCCATAGGTTTGTGAGTTGCTGCACTATTTGACTGCTGCCGGTATTCGAAAGGAATATAAAAATAGCTCTGCCCTGATACAAGGTCTCACTACGCATTGAAGATTTATGATAATTGCTGTAGTCTAGAAAGGGAACCAACACGTTCAGCAAACCTTCCGGCATCTTATCCACTTCGTCAAACACAAACATCGATCTGTCACATTTTGTCAAACTGTTGGAAATGATTTTGTACAGGTCCTCCTGAAAGAGTTTATGTTTTTATCATTTTGCTTTCGTTGTATTATAACAGATTTCATATATGTATATTTAAATGTACCTTGTATTGATTTACTTTTTCCTCTAGAGGAAAATCATTGCGGCCATTGAAAAAGTGGTAATATTGACTTTGAATACCCTTTTCATAGAAAACTGTAGCAATCATTTGCGCCACATAATTCTTGCCAGTTCCTGGAGTGCCATGAAAACTCATAACCAGTGCCTTCTGTGAATCCTTATTTCCCAAGTGTCCTCGCAAGCCATTTATGATTGTTTCATGAGCAATTTGTTGTCCAAACAAATTAGCAGACAACATATATTCTAGTCCTATAATTACAATAATTTTTTACTCAAGATTTCTATCTTAATATGTGAGATTATACAGAATTGTAAAAAAATAGATAAAAATGTAGATCTTATAACAATAAAACCACAAAATTATTATTCTTATATTTAAAGAACATGAAGAAAAAAGGCATCCATTCAAAATCATTTATTTCTAAAACAAAAACATCAATTGTTGTATGACCTCTGTACAAATTAGCAGGTAGAAAACTAAGATATCTGAATGAATGATTAAATTAATAATTAATAATTCTTGACAATTAAAGTGAAAAATGGTAAGCTCATTACTTACTGTCTAAGTCAGAATGAATATATTCGTCTGTACAGCATTCCCAGTACATGCATTCGTACTTTTTATAGGCATAATAACCTAAGCTCCCTAATGCAGAACCGGCCATATATGATATAATTGCACATCGTGTACATGTAACGAACGTGAAAATAAATAAAACAAAACCGAGAAAATTCATGTTTAATTATTAACGACGTAATATTTTTGTCTTCTTTCCCACATTACTCATATATCAGATCTGATGTAGGAATGCTGCCTGCTATTGATACCCATCACAAGCATGTGGTACAGTTTTTAATCAAATTTAACTGTATTTATAACTTGCAAACTAGTATATTTACATTAATCGCGTATGTCCAGTATCGAGTATTAACAAAAATTCAAATGCAAATCGAGTTTTGACTTACACAAAATTTAAAATAAAAGTTCGAACCCGGCTTACATGTGTTAGTTAGTTTATTGTCCATGCACTTCATGTTTCGTGTAAATGTAAACCAGCCTATGATCACGATAGTGTCGCCCTCGGACAGCACGGTGTGCTCATGAATCAATTCTCTGAAAGCGCAAAAAAATTGTTGATGTTTCCAGTCCAATTTTTATGTGAACATAGATCGAAAAAACGGTAATAACAGGAAATTTCTAGCATTGATCAGTACTGGTGGAAACGCAATTACTAAGCGATTGCTAAGCGGGTGATCGCGGGAGACAAAGTTCATTCGTCCACGAAAGTTCGACGTTGTTGCTTCTTATCAGCAGCGTGCATTGCCGATGTGGCTATATAATACTCAATGAAAAGCTGCTAACACACGATTGTAAAGGATTATTTGTGACATCAAGAACAAGAACAGCAATAGCAGATTCCATCGACGAGACAAATTAGGAAGTTGAACAAATAATCTATTAATTAACAAAATGACAAGTAAGGATACCAAAGATGTTAAGAACGTTAAAGAAGATACCGCCGCTACTCCAGCGAACAAGCTCTTTACGCGAGCAGAAGTGGCGAAACATACAGATTCCAAAGATATTTGGCTTATTATCCATAACAATGTGTACGATATCACTTCGTTCATCAGTCAGGTTGCAGCATTTATTCCTTTTTAAATCATGATTACTAAATATCATCAATCAATTAATCACATGATGTCAGTGTTCTAATCAAGATCTGTCTTTTTTTTTTTTGTAAAGTTCTCAGTCATTTTTTCTGAATACAATAGATATTGAGAGTTGAATCTTTATTAAATTTTATTTGACGAAAATTTAAGAAATATTATAAATAAAATAAACATTTTTGCATATTTATTTTTTTTATTAGAAGTAATTTGGTTTCTTAATCTTTATTAATGCATCTTATACATTTTATTTATAGCATCCTGGAGGTGAGGAAGTACTCTTAGAACAAGGTGGACATGATGGCACCGAACCTTTCGAAGATATTGGACATTCTACAGATGCAAGAGAAATGATGGAATCTTATAAAATTGGAGAAATAGTAGAAGTAAGAATAAATTTAATTTTATTTATGCATTTATCTGATATTTTTTTGTGTATTAAAGAGATGCTTATTGTTGTGTATTTTAGGAGGAAAAGACGAAAGCAGGAAAGAGCTCCAGAAATTGGACTGACGATGCAGACAGTTCTAGGTATTTTTTCCTCCTATATTTGTGTAATTTTTGCTTAAGGATTTCATTTTAACAGTCTAATGATTCTAATATATTCCAGTTTTCCAGAAAGCTATTCTCTTTGATGATTCCTGTTTTCTAAAGAGCCTTATCTAAACTTTCCTTTAAAATAAGTAATTCTTTTCCATCATTTTCTATCTTCTTTAATTTTTGCACAGATGGTATGAAAGTAGCAATTTTATTAGTTAAAAAATGTGATGTATAAAAGATATTTTATTTATACTTTGTTTAATTTTATCTATTAATATTTAAGATTTTGTACTTATTGTGCAAGAATGCTATAATTATGTTAAATTAAAAAATTTTGCTTTTTTTTATAATTTTATATCAAGGCTAATGAGTCAGGTTGGTTGTTAGTGCCAAAAGTGTTATATATTTGCAACCGATATAATCACAGAGTTTCGAGTCATGCTGAATTCTTTAGAAAAAATATTGCAAATTAATTCAGAAAAATATTACAGAAACACTTTGCCTCAATTTTGGATCCTTTTTAATCTGATGGGAGATAACCAGTGATTGTGATCATACATTTTATACATAAACATTAATTTTTTAGAAAAAAACTAAGCATTATATTATTATTTCTGCAGATTAATTGTCAATCAATGTGTGCTATTTCTGTTTTTAATGCGTTAATGTCTTATAATAACTTCACTGAGGATGACCTAATACAGGTTGAAACATCTGTGCTTATATGAATTACAAATTTACAATACTTTAGCTTGAATAACCAGTCTGACTGATAAATTAATCCCAATGAGTTATAAATTTAGATTTAATCAATGAATTCCTAATTTTCTTATTTGTATTCTTCTTTTTATTTTTTCTCATTTGCAAAGTATAAAATCTTTAATTGCATTGCTTGATGTTAAAAAAGCGTAGTTCCAAAAATCAGACATTTCTTTTTAGTTGATAATGGCTTGTGATTCTTTGTCTAAAAATAACTTCATTAATGCTAATGTTTATGAATATTAATGTTTTGATTTTAAAAATAACTTCATTAATACTGATATCTAGCAATTTTTTTGAATTATTAATGTGTTATTCTTATAAGAGAAATTTCACTTGTGAACAAAAAATGATTTGGAATATAAAAGTTTAGTTTTTTGGAACATTATATTCTTTTAATATTAAGCAATTTCATAATATGCATATTATAATAATTATAATAATTGATGAATACTATGATCATTTTATATCTATGTGAAATAGATATAATTACTACCAGTTCATACCATCTAAATTTATGAAAACAGACAAAAATCTTGTTTCTTAAGATTTATTATATGTGAGTAGTCGATGCTGCATCGTGATGTGATGATTGGCAATTGCAGTTGGCGGTCTTGGTTGATCCCGATCGCCCTCGGAGTGCTCGTGACGCTGGTCTATCGCTACTTCATCAATGCACATTAAAGCATTCCAACTCGGAATCCCTTTCTCCATGTTACTTACTTGTTAATACATATTATATCAACGATCAATTGTTGTTTCGCATGCATGTCGCGCACTGTTGTAATTGTTTTCTATGAACCAGATAGCACTGCTGGGCCTAGCACCCAAAAATGGAAAGGAGGAAAAACGGCCAATGTATTATATTGATATTGAAATAACGCGCGCATTTATATATTTATATGTATACATTTATATTTACTGGTATATATATGCATATGTACATGTAGCGTATACATCATTCCTCAAATGAAGATGAAATAAACTGATTTAATTCCTTAGAAACAAGGACATCGTCACGAAAAAGAAATAAACCTCATCCTTAGACGAAAAAAATGCAAGCAATAACTGAATGAAAATTATTTGAAGAAGTAATTCAATCACCAATCAAGCCAGGATGAATTTTTATATGTTATTTATACTTCTTGTAATGGATTAATAAAGAAGATAGCATCAATTGTGTCGCCAATGAAGAGAAGTTTAGCAGCATTTAAAAGAGCACATTTTATACATATATATATATTACACATATATGTAACACATTTACCCAAGTATTTTTCTATGATTTACATTTTAATAAATTTTAATAAATTTCGATATGTGACTCTAATAATATATAAAAATATAATTTCTTAAAGGTGTAAAGCAAATTAGTAAAAATAAGAAAATAGTAATAACGCTTGGAGTTGTGAAACTATATGTTATAAATATTTTTATAAAATTGGACTTAATAGAGCTTATACAATATATATACATGCGATATTCATATAATTAAAGCTATAAAATCGCTTATAAACATCCATTTGATTTTGAGTGTTAAAAGAATCCAAGGAAACTCATGATAATGATTTAAATTAAGCGCTAAAATTAAAATGTCATCCCGCGCGCGCTTTTCGGGGATGAAATTGCGCCGGCGCCGGTCCAGTTGTCCTGCATGCTCCTTCATGCATGAGTTGCGTGACGAGCGCGAGATAACCATGGATAACGGATGAGGGCTTCACACTGGAATAAGGATTCGCGGTGGCGTCGCCCCATCGTCGGTATCGAGCGAGTTCTCCAACGCGCGCGTTGCGTCGCGCCGGTACCTCCCCGTTCTCCTCGCTTCACCCTTTCGTTCCCTCCGCCCTCGCTGGTTCTAGGAGACCTCCGTCCGACGAACGCCCAGTAAAGCGCGAGAGCTCGTTGAGGACGTGTCATAGAGTAATATTTTGGCAGAGAGGCGTCAACGATAATTCATTAGACAAAAGAACTTTCAGAGGAGAGAAGTTGCTTCGCTCGAGGAAGTAAATCGAGTAGAACGAGCGCAGCGTCGCGAATACGCGCGCTATCGAGAAGATAGAACGTTACAGAGAGAAAAGGGCGAAAGCACGCCGGAGAAGGGTAGCGGAGAAGAGACAGCAGCGGCCGGTCCCGGAAGTAAAAGGGTAGAGGCCGACGGGGTGGAAGAAGAAAGGTGCCAGCGAACGCGGACGACGAAGCGAGCAACAAGAGCGACAGAAGCTGCGTACGGGCGCGAACGGCGGTGGTTGTATTGAAAAGTAGCGGCGTGGTGTCATGAGAGGCGGTCTCACGGTCCGCCCTTCTTATCGGTCCCTTCAAGAGTCATGCATGTCGCTCCCCTCAAACGAGGTAAGTGCGTAATCATCGGAGCAATCCTCTACGCGGGGTTACTCCGAAACGGTGTAGAAGCCGGCTGCACCGATGTCATTTAGGTTAACTGAGAGTCTCCATTTTTTTTTTCGAAAGAGAAAATCAAAGAACAATATTCTTTCATTAATAAAGTAATTTCTATGAGGAACAATTTTTAACATTTAATTTACTTAAATATATTTCCTTGTCTGTTTGTAGACAATGATGCAAGCTTATTGTATACTCTAATTCTGATAATTTTAATATGCCTTTATTCTGAGCACGAAAGTATACGTTGGTAATCAGTATAATAAAAGCAGAATTAAATTAATTAGTAGTTTCCAGAAGTTTGTTAAAAGAGGATTGAATTTACTGTCATAAAACTTTTGTTTAACCATCTCACGCATCTCGCCGGTATACACAAACGCCCACGTTTGTAACAGAAACTACTGACGCGTTTTTCCTCAATCGTATTAATTAGTTAAGCTATGACGAGAACCGCTAATAAATTGAAGAATGATAGATAAAAGTTTCTAAATATAATTCATTTTAATATTTTTTAAAAACCTAATTTTGGACATATTTTAATTATTCTAAAAGAGTAGAGATTGAATTGAATTACAATTATTCGATATTGATGAAACGGACATTCTATATATCAATTTAATTCATGAGTATTGTATAAATAAAATATTGTTTTATTACGAATTATTATTTGTATAACATTTACTGATTTTTTATTTAAAAGTTGAAAGCTTTATTAGGTCTTTTGATACCGCGATTAAATAATTACTAGTATTATTAATCGAATGTGTGTATAACACACACATTCTATTATCATTTTAAACTATCTATGTTATTACATATGCAATTACAAACTTTGATTAGCGATTGATTTCTTGGAGAAAGGAGGAGGAATTTGTTTCTTGCAGATGAGCTCCTTTCTCATCAGTAAGAGAGATAAACTTTCATCTAATCAATAAGAAAAGCAATTTTCGCTAGAACAAACTAGCATTTTAGATAGCTAAAAATTAATATGCCTATCTATTAAATATAATACAACAAAAGCATTTCCGCACCTGTATTTAAAAGTCGATACCAATCACGGTTAACTCTTCCTTCTTGACTAAAAATAGCGATAGTGGACGAAATACCTTTACGAGAATATTCCAACAAATTTAGAATATCTTACGAATATTATATAAGGGACGCAATATTATTTCTAACTGTTCTGAAAATACTGAAGTCTGAGATTGTATATTTTGCAACAGTCTATTAGCGTTTTGAAAAGGGAAGAAGAGAGGAAAGTGCACTTGCACTCACTATTTGGTTTATAAGACAGCAGGAAGAAATTCAATTAAAAAATAGCTCTACCGCTTAAAAATCTATATTTTCCTACTTTGCATCAACCGCAGAAAAACCTGCAACTTTCCTCAATACTGACGTCAACAGAGTATTGATGATTTTTTTCTGGCTGTAACAACTTGAACGTCAATAAACATTAGGAATATTCTTATTAATTATGAAACATGAGGAGTAGTTGAAGGTCAAGCGCGAAACACGTAGAAAGTATAAAACGTTCTTCGGCGTGATCGATGAAAAACGATGCGCTCGATGACTTTGCGTTATTTCCTTGTAAAAATGAAAAATATTTAGGTTTTGATACGAGTATTCTTTGAAAAATATTCAGTTTTCGCGATATAAGAAAAGAATGTTTCTAATTTAATATGTTTTTTACAAACAAAATACTGAAGTTTTGGAATTTATTGTAGATTTACGATGGAGATGACAAAAAGGATTAAGAAAATCCTTAAGGAAAAAGATTAAGAAAGTTATAAAAAATAACTTCCTCGAGATTTAAGAATTTTTCCTTTCTTTTTGGAATAAACAAGTATATAAAAAAAAGAGACAAAAGCAAGAATTGCTCCAATTTTTCTCAGTATTCTAGCCACAATCTTGTCCCTGCAACTTGCATCAATTCCAAATAAAGAGAAATGTACAGCAAAACTAACATTCAACATAACTGATTCAATTTAAAAATATCAAGAAAAATAGCTCTTAAAATGAGAACGAATAAAAAGTAAAATTCAAACAAAAATTTGAAGAACAATTTTTATTTATTTCTTTTTAAGCCAGTCTTTTTTGACATTTTTTAAATGTAAATTTAAATTTTGTAAAATTTTGTAAAAGGTGCAAATCTTTAAAATGGAGAACAACTCCACTCTTGTCTTATTGCTTCCATATTTTATTTCGCTTAACGAAACGAATAATTTCGAAACACCCAATGTTTACTTGCGATCGAAGAAAAACACGATGTTTCGCGTCACGAACACATTCGGGTGGGTTAACAAGTTACGAAAAACCTGTTGGTCGTCCTCGTGGTCGAATATCGTGTGCCAAAAAGAAGAGTTCGATGGTTACTCTCTTGATGCCGAGTCTTAAGTTGTTTGCTAATTATAAATGTCTTGTCGTCGAACCTCTTATTTCTTTTGTCAATGAGAGAAACGAGTTTTACGAAGCGTGACGAGGACAATTCGAAGCTATCAATCACAATACGACAACATTGCGGGAAACTGCACGTTGCATAATCTTGCATGCACATGAATGTTGCACTTCCAATTAGAGAAGGCTGTAAACAGGATGTAATAAAATCAGAAATTACAACAAAAATTTAATTAACAATCAATGGCAATAATTGTAATAAAAAATAAAACTTTCAATAATTATTAGTTTCTATACAACAATAGCATTTTTGTGACTATATTAATTTGATATTTTATTCTGACTTAAAATTTATATTTATTATAATAATTACGGAAATAAAAAATTGTATTAAATAGCGTAGAAATTAAATTTAAAGTTCTGATATTAATTTTATTTCAAATATTTTATTCTATAATTTATAAATCCATTACTAAGAATCAAGAAATTTTTATATTTTCACATATTCTATAAAAATTATTTCATATAATTAATTAGAATATAATTAATTAGAAATTTCTTCTCAATACCAGGCGAGGATTCGCCGTGATAAATTGTATCTCGAAATACATTTTATTGCGACCGACTATCCGAGATGAGACTCTCCGCACAAACGATAATATTTTCTATTTAACCCTTTCACATCGTCATTTCGCAATGATATACGATCCGACTTCATTTGAATATCGTAGATTTTTATTCCGCGAGTCGCTGAGGACGACACAAAATTTCGAATTATTGTAAAATCACAATAGTGATTATTAATGTTTTTAAAAATAGAATTTTTTGAAGTTATTATATTAGTTATATTTAAGGGAAACAGTTCTCGTTGTTCTCGCCGTGTGGAACGCGGGAAATGCGATTAATCACACAAGTATAATTTGAGAACGGACGAGCCTCCAGCTCGAGAATATTACTACATATGGCCAGTAACAATCTTCATATTGAGTATCGGCCGCTTTCTCACGACTGTTGCACGCGTATTATTTCAAATGCTTAACGCGCGATAAAGTCAAGTATCCACTTGAATCGCGAGGGTTGCTAATTCATTAATCGGCAGAATTGGAATTGGAACTGGAATTTATTCAACCAACTTAAACGAATCAAAATTTTGGTCTAACAAAATTTGCACATACTTGCACACCTTAGCAAATATTGTAGCAAATTTGTGTTGCATT